GCCCTTGGCAGCCTAAGTGCCCATCAACAAATGAATGGATTAGACAACTGTGGTACATCTACACAATGGAATACTATGCTGCTGTAAAAAGGAAGGAATTCTTGCCATTTGCAACAGCATGGATGGAACTGGAGAGCATTATGCTAAGTGAAATAAGCCAGTCAATGAAGGAAAAATACCACATGATCTCATTCATTTATGGATAATAAAGACCATTATAAACTTATGAACAAAAATAGATACAGAGGCAGAGCAGCCTCAAACAGACTGTCAAACTACAGCGGGAAGGCCGGGGAGGGTTGGGGGGCAGGAGGGGAGGGTAAGAGATCAACCGAAGGACTTGTATGCATGCATATAAGCATAACCAATGGACATAAGACACTGGGGGATAGGGGGGGCCAGGGGATTGTCAAGGGCAGGAATAAAGGAGACATATGTAATACTGTTTGTAATACTTTAAGCAATAAAACAATTTTTAAAAATCAATAAACTGTATCATTGTGATATTGCTTTAATAAATTATCCTATCTAATAAAAGACAAATATGCTAATTGACCATACTTTCGCTACGCACATCAGCCAATCAGAGTGATATGCAAATTAATGTCGACAAAGATGGCGGCTAATTTGCATACTGCCGGCTCTCTGCTTCGCTCTGGCCTCAGGAAGCCCTATTCTTGCAGTAATAGGCCCGAGGAAGCCCGATTCTTGCAGGAATCTTCCTGCAACGGGCCTCTAGTGTATAATAATAAAAGCATAATATGCTAATTAGACCAGACAGCCAAATGACCTTCCAGATGTCATTCCGGATGTCCTTGCAGACAAAGCCACCGAGGCAGGGGCCAAGGCAGAGGAGGTTAAGGGCAATCAGGCAGGCAGGCGAGCAATTAGGGGCGATCAGGCAGGCAGGCAGGCAGAGGTGGTTAGGGGCAATCAGTCAGGCAGATGAGTGGTTATGGCGATCAGGCAGGCAGGCAGAGTGGTTAGGGGTGATCAGGCAGGCAGGCACGCCAGCATTTAGGAGCCAGCATCCCAGATTGCGAGAGGGATGTCTGGTCGCTGGTTTAGGCCCAATCCCCCAAGGAGTCCCGGTTGTGAGAGTGTGCAGGCCGGGCTGAGGTCCCACCCCCACCCCATGCATGAATTTCGTGCACTGGGCCTCTAGTATTTAATTATTTAGTATGTTAATATATATTTAATAGAAACAAGAGCACATAATTTGCTTAGGATTGCAAGCTGTTAAATTGCAGAGCTAGGATTCAAACCCTGATGAATGGATCTGCAAAGCCCTCTTTCCTTCTATCTTGCTATTTTCTTTTTTAAGAATCTTAACCTCTGAGTCTTCTCACTTTATAGGAAGAATTTTAGATTTCCTGTGTGGGGTCACTTGCTCTTTCCCATGTATTGGCACAGCACTTCCTAGATATCAGGTCAAGCTTAAAGAGTGGCTCTGAAAGGGTTGTTTGTTTTTTTTTAGAATTGCCAACTCCACTGGATGAAAATAGCACATTGACAACTGATTTGATAACCTATAGGGTGTCCCAAAATTCACGCAAGATCTACGACCGGTCGCTATGATGTGCACTGACCACCAGGGGGCAGACAATCAATGCAGGAGCTGCCCCCTGGTGCTCGGTGTGCTCCCACAGCTGGAGCATCACTCAGCTGACTGACGGTCACCACACACCAGGCTCATGACTGGCGAGCACAGCTGCGGCGGTGTGAGCCTCTCCCACAGCACAAGCCTCTCCCGCCTCCATAGCAGCGTGCTACCAAGCAGCGGTGGATGTCAGGCCTAGCGGGGCTGGGATGAGCAGGAGCTGTGTGGCGCCCGGCCCCACTTCTACATCCCTCTGCAGACATCAGACTGTTGGTTTCGGCCCCAAGGGGTCCCGGATTGCGAGAGGGAGCAGGCCAGGGTTATGGACCCCATCGGTGCATGAATTCATGCACCAGGCCTCTAGTAGATCAATAAAGGGCACAGACTTGTCAAAGTGGTGGATAGGGCATCACTAATGGTCTACTGTACAAGCCCATCCCATCACCCACATTTCTTCCTCCTTATTGTATTAATAGCTTGGATCAGGCAGCACCTATTTGCAATCTCTGCTACTCTCAGCTGCCCAATAACAAGCTGATACTCCCACCCATCCATCCCTCACCACCTCATTACCCTGCCCTCTCACCTCGGAGTTTACAATGTACTTAATGGGGCTTCTCCCCTTACTTCTGCTGGTGATGGCCGATGGCTGTGGAGGCTAAAGCAAGACAGAACTCGTGCTGTGGCAGAGGAAGGAAATGAGCATTATGTCAAAAAGCTGCCATTTGCAGAAGAAAATAACTGACTTTTTCATAGAAACTCACAGCTAAAATTCAAAATCAGATCACTGTTTTTCCCTTCCCTGGCCTGCGACTCCAGTGCATTCTATGGTGGAGACCACTGTCTTCTCTAATCGATCCTTCCCTTCTTCCTTGGTAACAGAATTATTGATTGACGCAAGGCTCAGGGCCATCCAGAATACTGTCTTCCAGACTCCCTGGAAAACTATTCTAGTTGATAAATTGCCTCCCACTGGGTACAGGTTAACAACAATTCAGACACTGCTATCCATGTGTATTGAACAATCAAATAAATGAATGGTGGATGGTGGGAGCCAGGTTTCTCACTGTTGAAGCAAGGGAAAGTGGCTAGAGTGATCCATGTGGTAATGGATTAGGGTTGGAGACATTTGTATGAACTCATGCTTTGCTTAATATGGATACCAATGGTTATATATAAAAATGTTTATGCACATATGTAAATACCTGGGTTAGTTCTTTTCTCTTTCAGCTGAGAAGCAAAACCACCCCAAGTAACAAGGGACATACCTGTCACCCAGATCTTGATTTCTAATAGCACTCTCCAATAAAAGGAACCAGGGTTTCTTAGAGAAATGGCTGATTTCTAGGCCTTGGGCAGGAAAAATGCAAAATAAGGCTGGAGCATTTTATAAATCCAGAAATTAAGGAAGTGCTAAAAAAAAATCCACAACAAAGGAGTATGTTAAAGGACAAGGAACCAAGAAAAAGAGTTTCCAGTGACCAAAGCTGGAAAAATTTGAGCAAGAAAACAAAGAAGGATTTATTGGATTACTGTATAAGCCAAAGTATGTTTTTAAAATCCTTAAACTTATACTGATATAAATGACTGAATAGATAAGAACTTCAAATAACCTATGTAGATATCTGCCCTCAAGAAGGTGAGCCACAATTCCCTACTCCTTATGTGTGAGTAGTACATAGTGACTTCCTTCTAAAGATGGGGAGGGGAAGAGAGGGCAGTCATCCTGTATAATAAAAGGCTTATATGCAAATCGAACCAATGGCAGAACTATCAGTTGCTATGATGAGCACTGACCACCAGGGGGCAGACGCTCAATGCAGGTGCTGCCCCCTGGTGGTCAGTGTGCTCCCACAGGGGGAGTGCCACTCAGCCAGAAGCCGGGCTCATGGCTGGCGAGCTCAGCAGTGGTGGTGGGAGCCTCTCCTGCCTCCACGGCAGCACTAAGGATCCCCCAAGGGCTCCCAGACTGCGAGAGGGCAGAGGCCGGGCTGAGGGGACCCCCCCGCCAAGTGCACGAATCTTGCACCGGGCCTCTACTTGTAAAATAAGTGACAGTAGAGAAATCTGACACTTATTGCCTCAGCCATGTGATGAAGGATAGCATCAACAATGCTAAGTCATGTTGAGTGTATACATATATCACATCCTTTGACATGATGTGATGAAAATGGTGTTCTATCTCTGTGGTCTTCCTCTCAAGAACACTTAACCCCAGTCTAATGACTAAACATTAATCAAAACCGAATTAAGGGACTTTCTACAAAATACCTGATGAGTGCTCCTCAACACTGTCAAGTTCATTGAAATGAAAGTCTGAGAACTTGTCACAGACCCGCAGACCCTTAGAAGACATGATGATTGTAATGTATCCAGGATGGGATCTTGGGATAGAAAAAGGACATTCGGTAAAAACAAAGGAAATATGAATGATACGGATGTTAGTTAATAATAATGCATCAACATCAATACATTATTGTGTCACATCAATACATTCTATATAATTTTTCTGTAAAGTAACTAATATGCTAATGTAAGATGCTAATAATAGGGGAGACTGAGTATGAGATATATGGGAACTCTACTATATAATTTTTCTGTAAATCTAGAACTGCTCTAAAATAAACCTTATTTTAAAACAATGCTATATGAAAAGTACTTGGCACTTTGTAAATATTCAGTACATGTGTATTGGCCTGAACTTGTTGTATTACTGGTACAATTTCCCAAACTGAGAGAACAAAATGGCCTCTTTGCCCTGGGAATCTGTATAGGAACTCCTATTGTGGGAATTCTTCCAAATTCCTGTAGAGTTAGTTTCACTCCTGAGAGGGAGTATAGAACATGTTTTCAGAAAGAAAACAAACAGCCTTAAAAATAAAACCAACATCTCGCATCTGGACAAATATAGACTTGCACATCGAAAGTAGGGAGTGACACATGAGCGCAAGCGAATGCTGAAACTGACTCACTTCATAGAAGGTAACAGAGATGCCGTGAACTGACTGATTAGTCACACCACCCTGCTCTAATTGTGATTACAAAAGCCAAACTGTTTTTATGGGCAACACCCAGTGAGCCAGACTAAACAGGAGGAATTAAGGGGGTTTTTAATAGGAGTGCTAAATGATGACACTAGCCTCTTGCTTCAGAAAACCTACCCCAAAGCAAGCCCAACAGCCTGGAGCAAAGCAGGGTAAATAACTCGGTTTCCAAGAGCTTAAGTAATCAAGTGATTATAAAGAAAGTCCCTGAAGGGAGGCAAGGACTCTGGGAGAACTGGGTTCTGGAAGCAACCAACAAGATGCCAAGGGCAAGACACTGATACAGGCAGGGTGTCTAGTCCTTGCTTTCCAAGAGCTGAGTTCACGTCTTTTTTCTTGCTCATTTTTTAGAAAAGCATTTTTTTTCTGTAATTCTTTCCTCATTTGGATCTGTTTTTGCATGTTGCCTTAGTTACCATTCACAATTAAGCAAGCAAGCCAACCAAGGAAGTACTAAGTGTAAGAACTTGATAGAAGACAAATGAAAACCATGCATGGGAGTAACTCTCATAATGGTTTTGTTCTGGAGGGACTGGAATTGTTAAATGTAATATCTAGGGTGATGCAACAGGGTTATTTTACTTTAAGCTGTCGGCGTTAGAACTTTCAGGCATGAAGAACTAAATTCATTTTCCTGTGAGCGAAAGTGGTGGTGATAAAAGGACAACGTCTCCAAAATAAAAATTGACACATTTTGAGTAACTTTTGTTTATTATGAAGAATTATTTTGGAGGCAGTTCATATCATACAAATGACCACTTTGGTCTTGTATGGCTTGTGTAACATGTCAAAATTTTGATTAATAATCATTATATCTTACAGTTGTATAGCTTGTTACTTACATTTTAAGGGTGTTTCAAACACTTTATCCTATTTGTTGTCACCTTGATATCTTTTTCACCTTAGCCCAATTTGACTTAAATCTGAGATATGTAAAACCAGAGCCTTCTAAGAAATGACGCCAGGGTGAAGAATACCATAAGATATTAAAACTATTGAAATAGTTTAAAATATCTGGATTTAAAGAGAAATCTAGAAACCATTGTATCCACGGTCCTCTGGCTTGGCCTCCTTCCTGGATTCCATTCCCAGGTCATGTCAGAAGAGGCTCTTCCATCTTGGCTGGACCTCAGAAACTTCTTCTAAAACCCACAAAACCCAGACAACATCCCAGATAAAATAAATCGGCATCTCAGGGGTGGAATCCAGGTATCAGTACTTGTAAAGTTTCCAGGTGAGTCCAAAATGCAGCCAAATTTGAGAACCACAGTCCCAACAGAAGAAGAGACTTTTCAATAAAAAAAATAAGGTTGTGTGATCCCTCTGGCATACTAAGTTTTGGGGTCATATCATTTCTAGTAATGTTTGAAGAATCATCAGTAAAATTAGACTTTTAAATTCTAATTTTATAGACACGACATACAAGGTTTCCCCCTGTGTGTGCAATAGATTTGGGGTGGTTTAATCCACTTAAGAACTAAATGAGGGACAAGCATTAATGAAACTCTCTGGTAAATTAGTTACACGCCATAAATTTCAGCCAAGAGAGCAACTTACTCTGTGAATTACTGGACACAGATTGAGGAACAAGTTCTTGAGAAAACATTGACAGTAACTGAGTCACCTGCTGTCACAACAAACTGACTTCTTACCTGAGAGACTTTCAAATTCAAGAATCTATACTAATAAAAGGATAATATACTAATTAGACCAGTCAACTGGCCATCTTCTGGACATCCAACTTCCTTCCGGATAAAGCCATGATGGTGGGGATCAAGGCAGAGGCAGTTAGGGGCGATCAGGTAGGCAGGTGAGCTGTTAGGAGCCAGAGGTCCCTGATTGGAGAGGGTGCAAGCTGGGCTGAGGGTCCCCCCACCTCCAGGGCATGAATTTCGTGCACCAGGCCTCTAGTAGTAAATACTTTCAAACGAGTTGTAACAAGCACAAGATATGGATAAACAACTTTGGGGGAACAGTCACTCAAGACCAAATATTTAAAATTTTTCTCTCAATCTATCTCTGACATTGATTCATACATTTTTCTTTAAGAATTTAGATTTTTGGTGCTTTAGATTTCCCATCTGTAAAATGGACTCTAGGCATCTGTTTCAAGGTGGTATTAAAATTTTATTTAGAATGTACTTTGAAGATGAACTATACATGTAATTAAACTCCATGAACGTTCCCATAGAGGTTGCTGACTCTATGACTGAGTTCATTGTTCTAGCTAGAAGTTTAACTCTCTTTAGCCATATGTTCATGTTCAGCTCTTTGTCTATTCATTGATTCAACAAATATTCAATTGTGATCTTCCATGTGTCAATGTGTAGTGGTGAAAACAAACTCCTTGTCCTCATGAAGTTACAATCTTGTGTGGGAAACAGACAACACCAAACAGTTTGGATGAGAAAACTAAATTAAATTCGTGTTAAATTTGTGTTAGTATTTAGGCAGATTCAATGACAATGTTACATATATATTTTTTTTAATCCAGCGAAGTTGCATAGTAAGAAAAAAGTGACTCCTAAATAATAATGACACTGCAACAAGACTTCAAAGGCATAGTTTATATTTTCTTTATGATCTCAAACAAGACACTAGATTTAGTAAGCTGAAAGATCGTTCAAAAGAACATGGTGAATGCCTTCTATAACTTGACATCTTACAGACTATTGCACTGAACAAGGAAAACATTGAGATGTTTACAATCAAAATGATATAAAGGATTTAAAAATATTGAATATTTCAGGCAAACCAAAAATTATAAATAATAATATAATGGATAATGCATTTTGATTAAAAAAAATAACCCACAATCTATATTTTGATTTCATTTAACAGGTTAACAGCAATACATGCTTACAGCTTTGCTTTTTTTTCTTTCTCTTTTAAAATTTAATCAACATACAGCCAAAATTGTTTTATCTATACCCAACTGACAGATATATCATTTTGTTTAAAACTACTTCATATGTATCTCTAAAAAGATATAGTCTTAAAATAAAGAACAATACTTTCTTTATCCAGTCAGTGTTCAAATTTCTCTATAGTCTCATAATTTTTTAATAAAGCAGATTTTCAACAATTGTGGTAAAAATATACATAACATAAAATTTACCATTTTAACCATTTTCAAGTGTGCAGTTCAGCGGCATTAGTACATTTACATTGTTGTACAACTATCACATCATTCACCTCCTGAATTTTTTCATCTTCCCAAACTGAAACTTCATACCCATTAAACAATTCCTAATTCCTCCCCTTTTCCTTCAGAGTAAGTATGACAATCACCATTCGACGTTCTGTCTTATGAATTTGGCTACTCCAGGTACCTTATATAAACTGAATCATGTAATATCTCTCTTTTTTCGACTGGGCTTATTTCACTAGCATGTCTTCAAGGTTTATCCATGTTGTAGCATCTATCAGAATTTCATTTCTTTTTAAGGCCAAATAATATTTCATTGTATGTATATACCACATTTTGTTTATCCAGTTGTCTCATACTTCTTTTTAACTGTTTTATTTCAGTCTTTGTTTGAAAATCCACTTTATTCTTTGGAAGCAAAGCTGCACATAAAATATGTGGTAGTGGTATTTTTCAAAATTCAAAGAGATGAGAAATCTAAGAATCAAATTATAGAATTTAAACCCTTTTTGAGACCTTTATAGAGCTCTAACATCCAAAGTTAAATACTTTAAAAATAAAAGCAGACTGTTCTTCACAGATATGGGGCCAGGCTGTTCTTTGTGTAGTGGATGTGATGTCTGTCAAATGGTGAGACATCACTGCCCACCATGTGGGCTCCAGGTGCCCAGCTTGTTTGGTTGGGAAAGAGGACCGTGTTCTGACGTGTTGACTCAGTGCCCCTGGCAGACACTGCTAGGGTTCATTCCCAGACAGAATTTCCCATTATACCTGAAGTCAGCTTATGGGGCAAGAAAATGCTGTGTGTCATCATTAAGTCACTTCTAATGCAGTGTCTTGAAGGAGTAGGCAATTTTCAGAGAGACTGATGTGAACAGACAATTTAATTATGGATGTCAAACAGGAAATGAAAATCTGAAGAATCTGAATTTATTACAGTTAATTATATATTGACTAGAGGCCCGGTGCACGAAATTCGTACATGGGGGTGGGGAAGGGCCCCTCAGCCCAGCCTGCACCCTCTCCCTCTCACAATCCAGGACCCCTCGGGTGATGTCTGACTGCCGGTTTAGGCCCGATTCCTGCAGGATTGGGCCTAAACTGGCAGTTGGACATCCCTCTCATAATCCAGGACTGCTGGCTCCCAAT